AATCAAAGGCACCTATTTTTCCACGGTATCAAAAAAGTTCTCACGCTCAAAAGCCGTCAGCTATCAAACCAATACCCACTTTCTTGAAAATTAAAGAATATTTAAACAATTCCTGCATTTTTATTCCTCAATAGTGTTTCAGACTCCATGGAATGTAGAAGCTCTTGAAAGGATTCAAAATTAAAAGCCGACCGTTATTGTTAATCGCTTAACGCTTAATTGCTATCAAAGTTATATTGCAAAAATAGTAGTAAAATTATTGACAATCACCAACACTGAAAAAACTCAAAAATGAATTGTTGTTCTTCTATAGACAATGTTCTAGCTCATATGAATGGTGAAAAACTACTCTGATTTTACAAGCGAAGAACTAGTGAGAATTCCGTTGGATTATTTATTGGAAGATGCAAAGTCCTTTGAACTTTTGGATGCATGGGGTAAAATACCAATAAATTACAAAAATAACTTCCTTCTTCAAATTAAGTTACCATGCCATATTCATTACAACAGATCAGAATGGAGAACTCATTTTGATGGTCCACCAGATTCACAAGAAAAATGTTATTATTGTAATAAAATGATTTTATCCAATTATGTATGAATATTTCAAATAAAGCCAAGTCGTTTAAAAAATTATTGCATTTTCTTTCCAAACTTTGAAACCAGACAACCTTCAAAAAATCATGGTCATTTAAAGTGCAACGAATGAACCTGACAAATTGCATTTTTACAGACAATAACCTTGTTCAATTATAAGATAAAATTGAAGACATATACGGAGTAGGTATTATATGCAGAAATTTAAATGAATCTTGTTTTCATAAAAATCATCACGGCTATTTAGGTGCAACGATCAGAGAATGAACCTGACAAATTGCATTTTTACAGACGGTAAACATGTTCAATTATAAGATAAAATTAAAGACATATACGGAGTAGGTAGTATGTATAGAATAACTTATATTGCATGCACTTTACTGGAATTACCTTAAGAATACAAGGTGAATAATTTTCAATGCATGGGCTACAGAAATCAAAATATTACAATTTTTTTATTAATTTATTATTTGAGGTTTTAAACATGTGAAACTTTTCAATGACTTACAAACCAATTTTATCCAATTAAACTTTTATTTTTTATTGGTGTCATACACTTTAACTTAATACATAGAAAAATACCTGTTCTAATAAAATGGCTTCTGAGATTTGCAAGGCAAAATAGTTATTTATGTAACAAGTTGTAAAATGAGCGTGTTTTTTGCACACAAGGTGTTGACCACTTCTCATTTTAACACTATATTAGAACACACTGTTTATTTTGACGTTTGTGTTAGAATGAACCATTGTGACATTTGGTAACTGACTGAACAAAAATTAATTCCCACCATATTTACGTTTTCAAAATTCTTTAGGGGAATTTTATCATTTAGTGTACAAACCCTGTTTAAAATGAATAAAAAATAAAAAATACTTATTTTAGTTACAATTTTTCAATAAAAGTGGACTAAAAATCTTCCAGTATTCAGTTGCATCGTTGCATTCAAACAATAAGTAGTCCAAATAATACGTTTAAATAATAAGTCCAAAAAAATAATAATAATAATAATAAGTGTATATAAATATTAATGCTAAGTCTAGGATATTTTTTTTTTTTTTTTAATTTTTTCAGTTATTAATTTTTCAATCGAGTGATAATGTGTTCCAAACCAGCTGCATTTGAGTTGGCCCAAATGTGTGCCAACAAAATCATTATAAAACAACATTTAATAAAAAAAACTGATCAGAAAAACGAAGATGAAATTGAAAAAGCCATCGAATCAATAGTGTCTCCAAATCCTAATTTCAACCAGGATCTGGAGAAATTTTTGTGCCCAGAAAAAAAATCTCAAATCGACATTATTGACATTTCAAGTCCAGAAAGTCCTGATAATGAAGATGATGAAATGGTTCAAAATGAAGAAATGGACGCCGAAGCTGACATCATAGCTGAAAAATCTTTTCAGCTAGATGAACTAAATTAAACTGAGAAGCTAATTTTGCAAAAAATGGAAATGTATTCGAAAAAAGTTTAATACTGTAAGCAACTTCTAAATATAGTTAATAGCAGAAAACATTTAATTGAGGAAAATTTTAAGAAAGAAACCGAACAAAAACATTTAATGGAACTAATTTAAGCTTATTCATATACTTGTTTTTATTATTATTACACACCCCACAAAAATTAACGCATCACTTACATTTTCATAATTTTTTGCGTATTTTGTACTTTTATAAAACACCTCGTATAATTTTAGCATAGTACTATGTTACTACACAATAAGTTTGGTCAAGTTCAGCTGGTTATTATTGTGAAAAGTGTTTTGTTGCGCCATTTTCTTTTTTGATCATTTTAATTATGAATGAAAATCAACGTTTGATACGCAATTTGAGTGAAGTGGAGGCCGTAAGGGCAATTACCCTGATTGAGTAAGGAAGGAGTCACTAACCTGTTGGGTACTAATCGGAGTACAATATCGAGAGTATCAGCGCGTCACAGAGAAACTGGATAATACTCTCGAAGACCAGGACAGGTTAACTGCATTGAGAACCCGACATTGCACTGCGCGACTTCTTCAAAACGAATTGCTAGCAGCTCGAAATATCCATATCTGTCTTCAAACAGTTAGAAATTGTTTGAGGGAGTACGATATTAGAGTCAGAGTTCCAGCTACGGGCCCTCGCCTCACTAGGGAACATCGCGTTGCCAGATTAGAGTTCGCTAGGAAACATGCTGACTGGGGTATGGTGAACTGGTCGAACGTGATTTTTTCTGACGAGTCCAGATTCTGCCTATATACCTCAGATCGGCGTATGCCAGTTTATAGAAGACCTGGAGAGCGCCATATGCAGTGCAACTTCGAGGCACCGAAAGTTTTGGTGGCGGATCAATTATGATATGGGGTGGAATTTCATACCATGGGCGTACAGAGCTTGTTGCGGTAAATGGAGGTAGAATGACGGCTGATCGGTACATAAGGGACATTTTACAAGAGCACGTTGTACCTTATAGTCCATTTATAGGTGAAAATTTTGTGTTTATGCACGATAATGCGTGCCCACACGCTGCTGGGGTCGTGACAGAATACCTCCAAGACGTCGATATTGTCACCCTAAACTGGCCAGGACGAAGTCTGGATCTAAATCGGATCGAGCACGTGTGGGACCACCTTGGATGGACCTTACAGCAGCGCCGTAATCCATTCCGAACCCTTCATGACCTTTAAAATGAGCTGACTCTAATTTGGCATGGTATGGAACAGCAATATGTCCAGAATTTGTTCCAAAGTATGCCGCGACGTATGAAAGCTGTGATAAGAGCTCGAGGAGGACACACAAGATACTAAAAAGCCAATTGTTTACTTGTTAATTCCCTTTACGTTTTGTTTCTACTCTAAATTGGTTTAATGAAAGTTTTACAAATATTCTCAATTTTACTTTTCTTGCATCCCTGGTATATAACATCAATATTATCATAAAAAATACCCTCTAGGAGTTCAACTTCAATGTCTTAATAGCGTAAACTCGATTAACTATTTTGTTTTCATTGAAATATTTTTATAAATCTATTTTTGTGTGTGATGCGTTAATTTTTGTGGGGTGTGTATTATTTTAAATTATTTAGACTTATATAATGTAGGTAGGTAATTATCAATTTTTTAATTTTAAGTTTAATTTGAAAAATGAATGCACTATTTAATTTACCTTACGCTTGTGTTTTAATATTCATATCCTCAAGCACGCTGCTATAAAAAAACTTTTCACCAAACAATTTTTGTAAACATATTTTCTTCAAAAAACTACGATTATATCGAAACTTTCACCGACGCGAACCAGAGATCCACTTGGAATAAAAAATTAATTCGAGGTAAAGGGATTCTGTCTGCTGCCTCGAGGCTTGACTTAATCAAGATTGGTAGAGCAACGAGTTCATACAAATGGATTTGTCAAAAACAAAAATTTGGATTAAAAAGCATTTTTCCAATAATGAAATAAAAATTAGAAAAAGTGTTTTATTGATTTAGCCTTTTATAATACATTTGATTTTAATATCCAAGAATTAAATGAGTTATCCATTCCAAGCCATTTAACATACACTTTGTTTCCTTGTCGTGTTAAATTTTTTTCAACCAAATAAACGTCAGGATTTTGAACCTTTTGTAGTTCTTCTGTATAAAATCCACCTTGAATTTCATCTTGTGTTTGATCTTCCAAAATATATGTTGTAGGGTTGGTCATTTAAATTTTTTTGATTTTAAATATTTCGTTGGACCAGTTTGGTGTGTAACCTTTGGAAAATAGTTCTCTATATTTACTTATTCTCACAAAGTCACCGATTTTGAGTTTTGAAGTTTGAAGATCGATACTTTTTATATGCGTGTTTGAAAATATTTCCTTTTCGTTTTTCTTAGATATTTTAGATGGTTCAAGTCCCGTTGTAGAATGTTTTGTGTTATTGTATTCAGTCACGTTTTTTGGTAAAATATTTAACCATTTGTAATTTCCTTGTAAGCTGAATTGTTTCCACATTTTATTGTTCAATGTTCTATTTACGCTTTCCACAATACTAGCTTTTAAATTTGAAAATGTGCTGTAGTGATTAATTTGATATTACTGCATGAGTTTTTGAAAATAATGACCATAAAATTCTCTTCCTCTATCCGTATGCAAATTTCGTGGGGTAGTTTTTACATTGAGAACTTTTTTCATTGCTGCTGTGACATCCTTGCTGGACTATGATTTTATCGGCTCCGCCCATACATACTTTGAAGACGCATTAATAACTATCAGAATATATTTAAATCCTTTATTGAACTTAGCATAAGGTTGCATTTCAACCAGATCAGCCTCGAAGAGATCATTTAACCCTTTAATAATCACCCTTCTTCGTTTATATTTTCATTTTACATTTTTTTTATTATGCTAGACAATTAAGTTAGTACTGATCATGATTTGTTTTTGTAGCCTCATTTATTAATTTTTTTTTTAAATAATAGTTATCAAAACAGCTTTTGTAAGATTCCACCCATTTTTCCAATTTAGTAATCATGATTTTTTCATCGTTTCCTTTAACTATTCAAATATTTTGTCAATTTCTCCATTTATATTATCAAGACAATCTTTAACCCTGGTTCTTAGATATTTAATTGTTTTATTCTCGCATCACCTAATCCTCCTTCTATTTTCCTTAATTCTTCATTTAATTTCTTAATTATAGTTGGAATTGTAGATTGAACAGAAAATATCAACCGTCTTTTTGTCAACAGTACTTCCGTCAGGTTTTGTCCATTGAGAAGATTATTTACTTTGTCTAGTTGAGCTGTATTCATATTTTCAATTTTATCTTTCACTTGTCCAATTTCTGCTTTGAGATTTTCAATTATTATTTCTTTAATTTTGGTTCCCATAATTTCATTTATTTTATCAATACCCGCATTCAATTTATTGTCCTCATTTTCGACATATTCTCTTAATAACTGAATATCTTTTTTAATTTTTTCAACTTTCTGATCAATTTTAGAATCTACATCAATTTTTAGATTTTTTATTTCATCAATTCTTTTTCCTAAATTTAAAATTTCCATCGAAATATTCTTGAATTAATTTTCGGTCGGTCGGAGCAACATTATCTTCTATGCTTTTTTGAACACTATCGATTTTTGATGTTTCATGTTTCATTCATGACAGTTTTTAATTTTGCTATTTCGGTTTCAAAATAATTTTTTGAAATATTCTTTGGGACGTGAATAATAATAAGATTCAAAAATAACGAGTGTGCGACCGGGTTGAGGGGGTGGATTCAACCCCATAGATAGGAGAAAGATACTAACTTCTGAAAAAAAATTGCTGCACCACCAAACTTTTTTTTTAAATATTCTTTGGGACGTAAATAATAAGATACAAAAATAACGAGTGTGCGACCGAGTTGAAGGGGTAGATTTAATCCCGAAAATGGGAAAAAAATACTATCTGTCCACGAGTCGACGACATAGTTTATGCGTGTACCTATAATTTGAGAACCATTCTGGTTCAAGACATTCCATATTCTGTTTTGGATTTGAAAACATTCCTTTACATAATATGTGTTATTAATTTTAGCCAAAAATGCTCGACGTATAATATTGATGTAGCTTGCTAATGATGTTTTACAAAACAGTAGAAAAATAACTCGTAAGTACACCTCTGAATTTCGTCGCGACAATGAAAAAGTTTTCAAATATATGAGCAAATCTGATGAAACAACCAGAAACGAAATTGAGAGGTTATTGAGGATTTGGCGGGAACGTTCAATCTTTACCCCTCTTCAGATATCTTCGTGTCAGATAGCACTCCCAAGTAGCAATTTTAGTGGTTGGGACGTGGCGATCACGATATTTTGAAACTTAAAGGTGATTGCCAAAGTTTCTGCCCCGTAATAGACACGGTTCTATTACGTGGTGGTGACCTAAATGGGGAACACATTTTTGGTGGCAGCCACGTTTCAACAACGTTTTTGTATCTTTATACCATCCCGTTATAGCCACGTGGTTATTACGTGACAAAAACGTGGCCAAGTGGTGGCCAACACTGAACCGGAAACTTTGCTTACTGCGCTTGTCTTCTTTTGGTTATAATGTATGTATCTCGGTCCCTTTCTTGACCATTATTTCTCCATTTTCCCTGCTCTTCCACTAACTCGACATACCTACCTACCTAACTGCGAAAGCCTAAGTAGATACTTATGGATAATAAAAATTATTATAATATTATGTCATGGAATTACAAGGATATTAAATTAGGACAATTCTGAGAGCTGGGAGGCTAAAACTTCGAACGATTGAGAATTTACTCTGAAATATAGATGTTGTAGCTCGAAATATGGTCACGCGCCATCGAAATATTCCATATTTAAGAAAAAAATTCACAATCTGTGAATTTTGTGACTTCGAAATTATATACCTAGATGCCTCAAAAAGTTTTCTTTTTAGTCCGGATTAGTCATAACCAGTAATTATGTATTGTATAATAACATTTGAAGCCCTACAGATGAAAAATATATTTTGTTTTGAAAAGTACGACAATTTTTCTAACAATGGCGGCCTTAAAAATATCTGTAAAGATGGCTGCTTTTCAATGATCCAACTTTGAAGTGGCAGAAACTGAAAATATCTCACTTCATAGTTACGTTCATCAATCAAGTGGTGCGTGGAACCATCCTAACACATTTTCTGTCACTTCAAAGTGGCGGCTACGCTGCAGCCACCATAGTTTGTCACTATAGTACCTACATAACCTCAAAAGTGCCACTAGCAACAGCAACCGGTTTTTTATGTTTATTTTTTATTCTGCCTTCCGAGTTGGTTAACATTTATTTTATTTGTGATAATAATTAATGAAAATGAGTTTCAAAATAGTATCCACAAAGGAAAAAAAAGGAATATGTTTTTGTGTTGTTCCGCACCAGTGGGAAAGTGAGGGTATGTTGTTTTGGCCAGAACATTTAAATTTTTCCCAAAGGGAAACTTTAAGGCGCAACCCAACAAGTGCCCCTGAAGACAATTGGTCTTCGCTTGAATGCATTGTAAAATTATCAGGATTGGGAGATTTTTATTCTAATTTTTCATTTTATAGTCTGTTTGTGAACATGGCGAATAAAAAACGAGCAGCAACAGGGAAAACATTTGATAGCTGCCAACTGACTGACAGAAACTATCTCTTTGATAAGCAGCCGCCTGCTAGTCGAACAATAATAAAATTCAAATTCTTTCAACAAAAACATTGAAGCAGCCGGTCCCGCAGCCGACATTTGTAGCCAATAATGAAATGTTTCTGGCGAATGTACCCAATGCTCCTGATTATAAAACATTTATTAATCGTGCAGAATGATGGCTCTTTGATATTTGATACTCTGGTTGAAGAATGTGGTAAGAATAAAAGTACAGTTATGCAAACAAAAATCCAGACAAAAATTCTTTTGGCATAAACACTATTAGTTGAAATTTTTGAATTTGAAACTGGCATAAGATGTCTGTCGAAGAGATTTTTCTACAGAATTTTTTTTTGAGCAACTGTGTACACATTGAAAAAATCTCCCAGCGTCTTGTTGATACCTAATAAATTCAATATATAAAATAGTGGATTAATATTATTTATTCACATCATTCCGTCCAAAGAACATGAGAAACCCCCTGGCTCAAAGAATGAAAAACTATTGGCTACGTTAGGGAACAAAAAAGAGTATGTGATTCATTATAGAAATTTAAAGCAGGCTTTAAAACTTGGCGCAAAGTTATCCAAGATTCATAGAGTAAGCGCCTTGGCTCAAATCATACATTGACTTGAATACTAAGCTGCGTCAAATGGCCAAAAATGAATTTGAAAAGAATTTATTCAAGCTGATGAATAATGCTGTATTTGGGAAGACGATGGAGAATATTAGGAAACATTCATCGGTGAAAATAGTTAAAAATTGGGAGGGACGATATGGCGCCGAAGCTTTAATTTCAAGACCTGAATTTAGAAGTAGTACCATCATTAATGAAAATTTAGTAATAATAGAATTGGCAAAGACGGAGGTGTTTTTCAATAAACCAATATATGTAGGAATGTGTATTCTGGATTTGGCTAAGACAACTATTTATGATTTCCATTACAACTACATGAGAAACAGATTTGTAGATTGTACCGTTTTATATACCGATACAGACTCATTAATCTATAATATTAAAAATATGGATGTATATGAGGCAATAAAAAATGATTGTTTGTTACATTTTGACACCTCTGACTATAAGCCTGATAATATCTACAATATTCCTCAAGTAAACAAAAAGGTTCTGGGAATGATGAAGGATGGAAAGAATGGTAGGATTATTACCCACTTTAGTGGCCTTAGAGCTAAAATGTATGCTATGAAGTCCTATTATACACCTGCAGAAATAGAAGCAGAAAGATTGGAATTGGGAAAAGCAGAAATGGAACGATATGAACTTGATATTGCCTTAAAAAACCTTGGTATAACAAAAAAAATTAAAGGGGTCAAAAAATGTGTAATAAATAATAAAATTAAGTTTGAAGATTATGTAGATTGCTTGGAGACATTTAGCGAAAAAACTATTTCGCAAAATTTAATTAGGTCTCACAAGCATAAACTATCTACTATAAAACAAACTAAAATTGGCTTGAGTCCATATGATGATAAAAGACGCGTAGCAAAACAGTCTATAAGCACACTCCCTTGGGGCCATTTTTCCATAAAGGTTGAGAGTAAAATGATTTAAAAGTCTAACATTTTTAGGGTTAATTATCATATTTTAGCAGTTTTAAAAATCTATTTGATAGATATTTTGCTAGTTTTTAGTTATTTAATAGCATTATTTTTAGTTCTAGTTAAGTTGCCACGCTTTTTCGCTGATTAAGAAAAAAATAAATTTAGAAAAATAAATTTAAAAAAAAATTAAAGTCGAGAATAAAAAAAATTAAAAAAAAAGTAAAATAAAAATAATGAAAATAAAAATAATTGAATGAAGAACTTGAGATTGTAAGACTGAAGGTCGAAGTGCGTGCAAATTAAGCCCTAGCTCAGAACTAAATATTTCGGAGAGTAGGGGTGGGTTTTAGTTTTGGGCGCCACCGACTCTGAACAGATGAGTCGGACTCTCCAGGATGGTATCTGGCTTCAGGTCCTTACAATCCAAATAATAATTAATAAAAAAAAAAAAAAAAAATATTAGCAAAACCAGGCTGTGTGCATGCATAAAACCAAATAAAAGTCAAGAAATCAAGTGCTACAGTTATTTATTCACCAAATGGCCGCAGACCACAATGAACAGTAAGTTGAATTTAAGGGAAAAAAAAAAATAATAATAATCAAGTAAATTAGCAATTAATAAATGACCTTGTCATGAATTGTCAACCAACAGATACAGAAATGCTATACGTTTTTAAATAATTGCTATAGTCAAGAACAATTAAATTTAAATGCAAAAATATGTTATTGAAACTCAATAATTAAGTAATAATAAAAAAAATAAAAAGGTATAAATAGAAAAGTTGCAAATAGAAATTGAAGAGAAAAATAAAACAAAAAAAAAAACAATAAATTAATGACTAATAAGTTGGAGCGGTTATTTTACACTTACGTAACCAGAACTACCAGTAAGTTGACATTAATTCAACAGGTTACGTCTAGTTAAGTTACCTATTTTAATAATTCATTTACCACACTGGGGCCAGCAATGAATTATTCCCTGAAATACCGAGGTGATCACCCGGTGTACAAATAGGGACAGAATGTAAACAAACAATAACAATTAGGTTAACTAAAACTAGTACGATACCAAAATTTTCCAGATGGTGGTGGTTCATTCAGTTCACCAGATTAGTCCTGGCCACTGGTTGTGGTCAACTTGTTCGATGACTTGCGTAACCGTCCGATTACTTAGGCTGGTGTCTGTTAGCCTTTTGGTTCAATTTCGGTTACAATTGAACGTCTATTGTTATAACCGTGAGGATATACTCGATGGTAAAGTATAACCCCTCGTGAAAGAAAATACCCTCGTCAAAGGAAATACCCTCGTGAAAGGAAATACCCTCGTGAAAGGAG